ACTACGGTGGCCGTGTTCGTCGCTCGAACGCGGCCGGAGATACGGCGGAGAGCGTTTTCGCGTTTCAAGATAATCCTTCCTTCCTTCCTTCCTTCCTTCCTTCCTTCCTTCCTTCCTTCGGGAACAGACCCTCCGGGATATCTTGTCGAGTTATTGCACGACCGCCATGCCGCTTAGAAACCACCGCTTCGACGATATCACCGTCTTCGACTCGTTCGAGAGACCTCGAACTATCTTCATTTTTCCTCGTGAAAATCCGTTGGCTAGAAACAACGGAAACGCGAGATCCACGAATCCTGTTCGTATACTCGTTCCTTCGGATAAAGTTTCTCACCATATTTTCCTGACAGAAATCGGATTTGAAATAAGGTGTAAATTAGAAAACTTTCAACTTCTCATATTCGAAAATTAGCTTAACCAATTTTACCGATTAATTTGGCGTTAAAAAGTATCGAAAATCCTCGGCAAATACCTGGAATGTTTGTAGCTCGGGAAAGATTAAAAAAGGCGAGCGTAAAGAATCTCTCGGCGACGTTCATCGATGCAAGAAAGAAAAGAACCACGGCTAATCCGCGCGGCTTTTCGTCGAAGAAACCCGACGCCCGACGAAAACGGCAGTAGTTTGAACACACCGCGTCGCGGCGAGACTGACTAGCTGCGATCTAATCCTATTTTCGTTAGATCCGTTAATGGTTAATGGGAGGCAAAGTGGTCAGCGACCGGAACAAGGCCTAAGTCCGTCTTAAATCCTGTACGAGGGAAACCCTTGTAGCCCTTAGCCAAGGACCGTAATCCGCGCAGGATAACTATTGGCCTCGAGTCGAGTTTGTTTCGATCAAAGTCGCGTAACGCTTCTCCTTATTGTTCGGGGTATCCATCGATCGATTCATCGATCCAATCCACGTTTCTACGATACCGAAGGTCGGGTCGCGGCGGCAACGAGTAAACGACGTACTCGCGGAGATATCCGGTCGCGTGACTGGTAGACAATTCGAATCCCGCGCGGAGAAACATGCCCGCGGGAGAGGACAAACTTGCGAGCGGACGATCGTTACGCGTTTATAATATGCAAGGGTGGAAACAATAATATCGTCGTTCCTTCCCCTCTCCGAGGAGATTCAGCGGCGGGATTAATCGGGATCCAGGGTCAGGAAATTTATGAAATTCTCACGCGGGAAACGGGACTCCGACGAAGGAACGAGATCCGACTCTCTTTCTCCGAAGAAGACGCATCGGTTACCCTCTTTCGACGAGTGCACCGGCAAACGAATACCGGAGAGAGAATCCCAGGGGTTGTAAATTACCGAAATAATCCGCCGCTTAATTCTCAGCGGCGGTTTATTACCGAGTCCGCGATCCGTCCAAATGGGATTCGCAAACGCCTGGCAATGTTCGGAAGACGCAGGAAAAAGAGTAGGAACGATCCACGAGGACAACGAGAGGGTCGAGGAGCGATCGGGGTGTAACACGAAAGCTACATTATACTATTCAAACGATTGCAGGGCACGGCGCACGGGTAAGTTGACATTGTTGTTTCTGAGGGTGGCCTGGGGCTGCTGCGAATATCTTAGCACCGCGCAGAAGCTATACGACCGTACACGTCGTCGTACAAGCCCTCCGGGGATGTGAACGCTACACCGCTACCACCCGTCGCCGTGCCACGCCACGCCACGCCACGCCACGTTACGCCGCGCCGTCTTCCCGCCACCATATACTAATCAATAACCATGAATCGCTCCGGTAACAGTGGCATGCACGTTCCGTTGCACCGTTATTGTTGCCGGCCCAGAGTGCTCGAGCTACCGTGAATATCATTATCGCCGACGATCCTGAACTAGGCGCGATTACGCCTCGCGATAACACCGTTCGCGATAACCCCTCGACGATCGTGTTCGTTTCTAGCGAGCCGAATCTTCTGAACAGGTGGCCGACGATGGCTACATCCAACGATCAGACCGAGGCTTATGTTCTCCGATGTGCACAGCTCGGTATATTTAACGAACGCGAAATGGCTGCTTTGGTAGAATGTTGGAACTCGGAGGTTTCGAGACTAGACAAATTTCCTTATTAAAATTATCTATACCCTCGATGTACGATTTCTGACACGAAGAAAAAGGAATAAGGGGAAATCGGAGATACAGACAGGAGCGCGCGTGTAACGAGTCCGTGCGTAACTCACGGTTTATGGAGCGACTCGCGATTAGGGCTCGTCTAATTGACGCGGGAAACGACGAAGAGAAGGCAGCCCCTCGATTGGGGGCGAGTTTTCTTACGAGCCAGCTACACGGCCAACATTAATCCTTGAAATTTTAATGGCTGCTAGCTCGCGGTCGAATTTCAATAAGCTCGAACCCCCCGTCGCGCACCCTCTGCTCGCCAACCAAGATTGATTTTCACGACTTTCAAGTCGTCGCCTACCGGAAACTTCGTATCCATGAACCTTTAAATCGAAAGCACGAGCGCTGAAAGAACCGGGAGCCGATGGAAAGAAAGACAACGCGAGTCGAAATTTTAGTTCAACTTCCGTAGTCTCGATTACTTTGATCCTTACATTATACGCGTACGCGTCGTAAAAGTGTTCGCGAGACTTTTAAGACTTTCGACGCTGGCAAGACTTTACGAGATCTGCAAAACCTTACGAAACTTTCAAGAATTTCATTTATAAACGATATCGAGAACGACTGATAGGTCGAAAACTAGAATTTAAATTTCGACTAGGATAAACCGAGTGCATTCGAATCGGGCCGAGGGTGAACAGGAAGGCTGACGTTTCCGTCGACGACGATCTCTAATAAAGTTCAATTATCTCCGGAAACGTTAGGTACCGAGGGAAAGGTGAAGGAGAGAGCGCGAGGGGTGGAATCGAGGACGGGGAAAAGCTCCCTAACACGGCCGACGAGAGAAAGAGAAACCGGGAGAGATGATAATCTAAACGATCGCAAAGTGGGCTGCAGAAACGCGCCGAAATTGGCAATAACAGGGTGGCGAGGGGGTAGTCGGAACACGGGAAAGCCCGGGCAGGAAGGGGCAGCCGCGTAACGTATACACGTAGCACCGGCGCGAACTTCCTATTCTGGTTAGCATTCAAATTGAATCTTCGTGGCGGCCGGTCGTGAAGAGTTACCGCCGTTAATGGACCTCGCAAACGCTCTCAAATTGCTGCCAGACTGCTGAGACGTGGCCCTACTTAATCTACCGGCTTGATTCTCATCGTACTGCCCTGCTTTGCCCTCCACCGCTGTTCGCGAATATCGCAGCGTTCTCTAAAGCTGAATTCACCGAATGGACCTCGAGAACTTTCAGATATTCGCGTATTTAATCAATAGAGAATTTTCCAAGTAGGCTTGGAAAGCTTAAACTTTGCAGACTTTCGTGAATCGTAACACTCTTTCCAATACAACCCCACGCGTTTGACGTATACATTTTAAAGTAAAGAAAACGTCGAATACAGAATGTTACTACCGTTTCGGCGGTTCGAGGAATCGCTGCGGAAACGATCCTGCGAAATGTCCGCAAATTGGCAACGATCTAACGAGCAAGTTATCGGTCGATGAGCCGCGAGACTCGTAACGCGTCTCGCGGCTCATTGGCCACCGATGTAATTCGAGAGGCAGACAGCCAGAAAGAAAGAGGGTGGTTTACCCTCCCACCAGTGCCTTTCTTTTCTTCCGTTAAACCGAATTAGCCTGCTGGATTTAGAGTCCGGAAACGTTTTACAGGCTGAAAACCGACTTCTTTCTGGCTCGTCGAGGGACGATACTTGAATTAGGTCTCTCGGGAGACTTCGAGCACGCTAACGTAATCGATTCGGTTTCTGGACGTCGATAATCGAGCTTGAAGCGCGTCTCGACAAAACTACGAGTTCACCGGAGAATCCGGCGAAGTTGGAAAGCGACGAGTTTCTAGTCTCTCGGCGAACGTACCCTCTTGCCGAGATTCGAAATGGCTAATTTAGCGTGCTTGGTCTCTAGAGAATAGAGGGGAAGATGGAGAAGACGGAGAAAGATGGCGAGGGACGAACGTACCACGGAGACAAGCGACGCGGTCAAAATCCTCTTCGTCTCGGTGTAATTCTATTAGACGTAACTACGCGAGCTCTGGTCCGGCTATCGTCCGTTCAATTTAATCACGAACCCACTAGACCGACTGCGATATTCTACCACTCTACCACTTGTGCCATCTTTTAGGAAAACCGACCGTAGCGAATCTTTAATTCGACTGGAGGCTGTTGATGGAACGAGCCTCCATTTCGACCCTTTCAACATTCATTCTTGTATTATAATCATTTGCATTCGTATACACGATTAATAAGTACCGTTTCATCCACTTATAGGTGTACGTGTAATTTTATTTAAATTCAATAAACAGTGCGAGTTCGAGCAACGCGTCTTCAAAGTTATGATTCGATATCGAGGAAAGAAACGAAACTTTAGTTAATACTTTAGCGTTGCGTGCGAGTACGGACTACGAGAGTTTGGAACATTTCGAGCTACGAACATTATTATACAAACACTTGTCTTCTTTGCAATCTGTTCGGTCAACACTTTTACGTCGAGACACTTTGGAAGTAATTTTGGTATACAAATTTGTCGAATGAGGATAGCAAACAGGATACGGTAATGACTTTTTAAAGTGATCAAAATCTATGTTAAAATATTTGTACATCGATGTATTTCCTATCGTTAACGATTAACTTGTTAACGAAGTACCGACATATTACACGATTACAAAGTATTAATTTTCATTCTAAAATCTATAAATCGATTCGAGCGAACTGTGTTCTCTAATAGAGGAGAACGGGGTTATTAATCGATCTGATGCAAACAAAGTTAGCCATTTCGTGCTTGTTTTAAAAAAGGTAGTCTTCTACAATTTCAATTATTCTATGAGTGTGAATATAATTTTCCTGGAAGCAATTAGAGCAATATTTGTTTAACTATTCCCTAATTTACTTTTTGTAGCAATCGTCAATTAAAACGAAATATCTTTTATGATTTCAGCCGAACTGAAGATGGATGTTCTTCGAGAAAGAGAAGTAAAGGACAGCCTCGAACGTCAGCTTCAGGATGAGCAGAAGGTTCGAGGTAAGTAAACCATTGTTTTCGTCGTCCAATGAAATTCCATCGAGCAATTTTACGGATACTTCTGCGAGGCGGATACTCTTTACGACTTTGTCGAATCGACCGGTCGCGTAAACGAGCGGCTCGTCTCGTGGATAGATTCGCGACAAGGCGCGATCCTGGCGAGAAGGTAGGCTTCCAACGGATGTTTCGTCGTCGAGTTATTTCGTTAAACGATAAATCAAACGACAAAGGTCGCGCAGAGACACAAACGCATTTTATGCTCGTGCACCGCCACAAAATTAAGCGAAGTATACTTTCTTTCAAACGCGAGTCTCCTGTTATTTGTCACGTCTGTCGTCTCGTCTTGAATAATCACGCCGAAACGTTCGAATTATGCAGGCCTAGTCTGGGTTGTTTCGTAAGTGTAATGGAAGGGTAGAAAGTGGAGGGAAGTAAGGAAGGAAATGAAGGAAGGAAGGAAGGAAGGATGGAGGACGGCAAAGGCCGTGATCGTTCGACCAAGTTTGTATCGAATGTCAGTCCGTAATAGAATAGTCTCGCGTTTACGGGCTGCTCCTCTTTGACCACCTACTCCATTTGCAACACCCACTCCCCTTTGTCCTCCGGTGTTCTCTCTTCTTCTCTCGAATCGCGGTCCAAAAAAAATGAACAACAGAAGCGATTTCTCCATTGTACTTGGAGTCTGGATCGGGGATCGAGATCTTAGGGAGACTCGAGCTCCTGTTATCTGGCGACCGAGTTGCGAATCTCGCTGGTCGATGAATCATCGATGGATTAATCAATCGTCTCGATTTATAATTCATTTTTCTGTGCAGTTTAATAATACAACAAAGAATACCTTTAAAGAATACCGTTAAAAAAGTGTTTGTAAGTTGAAAAGTAGATCAAGATTCTTTTTCGTTATCTTTGTACCCCATCAGTCACGAAACACTCTGTACAAACGTTTTCGTTTTCGCAATTGGAGGTAGCACATTTTTGGAACAATGGTACCGTCAGTTTAACCGGACGTTTAATCGCCTCCGAATCGATTCACCGTTCCGTCGACGGAGAAACAGAGAGAAACGAGAGGAGAAAGGGCGTCAGGTAGGTGCGGGTAAATTCAATATCACGGATTTTCCCGGCAAAAGATGTCGGCGTCTCGGCTGACGCGAGCACAATGCGAGGACCGATAAATATGTAAAAGCGTAGAAGACCGAGTGGAATATATCCGCGTGCCTGGTGCGTCCGCGTTCGAGCTATATTGCGCTCCGTGGGCGAAAAAGATCACCGACCAGAGGCGGAAGCCTGCAAAAGCGCTAGGGGAATGAAATTTTTTTTCTTTTGTCGACGCGCTTTCCGCGAACGAATCGTTGCCGTCGTCGTGAACGCGTTTCGGTCGATTCGCTAGGAAAAACGAGTTGTCGAGGCCGGGCCCTCGCGGTAACACGAGCCTGTGACAACAGCAGTCCATTAGTCAACCAGCACAGTGTCAATACATGAATATGACAGCCGGTCTCACGGAATAGGCCATCTCCTCCCTCGTCGCCACCCATAATGTCAAGCGACTTCTACGATATCGCAAATATAGGAAACAGTCTACCGTCCCCAACGACTACACAAAACCTTTATCTTCCCGTGCGAAACTTTTGCTTTCACCTTCGTCTCTCTTCCACCCTTCCTGTCTTATGCTTTCCTTCGCGTGATCGATGTCAAAACCGATCCGAGTTCGTCGGCTTTAGCTCGATTTCGTGCCCCCTTTCGATGGGCACTCTTTTCTCGGATTAAAAACGATAACCTTCTTACGGTCATCGATATTTCAACTACTTCGCCTAGCCTTCCTTAGGGAGAAAGAGGATGTCGATGCTCAGAGATTACTGCGCGTTATATCTAATTTAGACGAAAAGGTTATTCGGTTTAGTATGCGTTTCGAAGCGACCGTCGAGAAAAATCGAATCGAAGATTTACGATGTTCGTTGACGCGGCATTCATCGCGTCGGTCGTGTCTCGTCGCGGATGGATTCGTGCGAACACTTTCGTCCAGTTGATCGAAAAAACCGTGCGAACACGTTTTCGAGGATTCCTCAAGGCGGCGGCCCACGTAAGACGATACTTAATTTGCGCGAGACCTCCTGCGGTTCCAGCCGTTGGACGATCGATCATCCCAGGATATTGACGGAACACAACCGCTCGCCTAAGACCATCGTCTTCTCGTTCGGCTAATGACCGACGAGAAAATGAAAAGGTACGCGCAACGAACCAACGTCTTCCTTTTATCGGACACCCTCTTTCCTTCGGGCTTTGCAGTTTGTTGCCGTTCAACGAGAAGAAACATCGAGGCAAATTAACGATAATAACGATAAAGAATGAAATCGAAATCCAGAGACGAAAGAGTTTCTCGAATTTTTATGTCGTACATATGCAGAAAGTACGATACTCTTTTTCATCGACCTCGTTGTTATCAGTTCTACAGGGTAGGCGCATCAAGGCTGCAAAGGCAATTTGTGCAATAAGCAGGGAGGAATCGCAGGAGCGGGGTGGAAGGAGTGAAAGGAGATAGGGGGCGCGGTGTTATTAGCCCGTTTAAAGCCCCGTTTGGCATTTCGGTAAAGGTTGAAATCTCCGACCCCCCGCTGTTTCGAAGACCGTATTATCTTGGCAGGGGTTGCAAGGAGTCGACGTTCGTTCCTGCTAGTCGAGGGATTCGTAATGGGACACGCGTTGCTTCGCGTCGAACAATGAGATGACCTTTGCAACGACCGATACGCGGATATGGGAGGCCATCGCGACGACTCTTCGATCTTCTCCACGAATTACGGAGAACGTCCTCGTCCTCTCGCGCGTTAACGACTCTGTTTTGACAAGGATGAAAAACGCTTTTTCCTTCGCACGAAGCGACGCGGTAGAAGGAAGGCGAACGACGTTTCCCACGTTGTCGTCGAGTTTACGTTTAACCGGATTTCGAGTAAAATATGCGCTATCGGCCACAAGTATATAACCGCTCTTACGTTGGTTCACCGATATCACGCGAGCTAACGATCAGATGCGGATCGAACACACTAGCCAGATTTAACGTCGGTAACTTTTCAACGATGAAGTAGCCAAGAGAGAATGGCCGCGAGCGTATTGGTCGATCGAGGCTGTGATAACAAACAGAACGCGGAACGATCGTGCTCTGGATTGGATCCGTGGCCGGAAATTCTGGCCGGTTTCAAGCTCGCTTTTCTACTAGCAAAAACCGCTGCTCGCCGCGCGTAAACCTCCGCAGCATCGTCTTGGGAACCGACAGCTGCCATAGCTGTCGCTTTACGAGAAACTTGCGGCCTTCCTGTAATTAGCCTGTACCTTTTGTCGCCAGAGAGAAACGCCCGTCTCCGTTAAACCCTTTTGCCGGTCTCCTTTCGTCTCGGCTCCCTTTGACGCGTTCTCTTCGATTTCCCTAACACTCTTTATACGCCGGTTAAAAAATAAGAAAGAAAAACTCTATCGTGGTATAAAGAACGAGCGGAGGAAAATTTTGGATAACGGCGCAAGAGAATAATGGTTTATCTACCGATCCCCGAAGATGCGTATCGCGTCGTTGTCGACAAGCAACGCGACAAACGGAATTGAAACTGTACAGTCAACCGGTCGAGATTTATACTCGTTCGTTGTTCGTCCCCTTGAATTAGCCGGGCCGCGTAATGCCAGGATCGGGTGTCGGTGTAATTGGGACCCGAGGGACTTTGCCGCGTTTCAACCCCATTTCGACCGCCGTCGTGCCGGATCGTCACGCTATCCCCGAGTTTTCGCAGCTATTTGCAGACCTCTATCGCTATCTCGAAACGGCGACGGCGATCGTGAATATATTTCGCTGTTCCGTGCCGATTCTCGGATATTTTCTTCCTCTGAATTCGAATCAGTGTAACGATAAGTTCAGGAAAATAACGCTATTTTTAATTATGGGGATAAATACGAATCGTTCGAAGGTACGCTTGTTCAACTTCGATCACGAAAATCGGCCAAAGCCTGGATATAAAAAGTTATTTATACCGGGCAATGTAAACTGGGAAAGAATCTTGACGCAATACTCGATTACGGACTATAATTATTCCCAAGCAGATCCATCTTCCGATCAATAATCCGTGACTAACATAACCACCGAAGTATCTGTAGTATCGCAAAGGAACCCATCGTTGCGGTATCCTCGAACGAGTGGAGAGCTAATTCTCAAAAGAGTTTACGTCGACAACAACAGCGGCAGCAGCAGCGGCAACAACAACGGCAACAACAACAACAACAACAACAACAACAGCAAGAACGGGTACGGACATCGATGACGTCGGTGCTACGGTGCGTAACGATAGCTGATTTGCTTTGAAGTGAACGTTTACACACACCGATCACTGGGACCCTCTCCGGCATTGTAACTCTGTCCGAGCCAAGGGGTGAACGGGGGATGCGAACAACGTTGTTTCGCCCTTGTCTCCGTCTAACCGTCCCAGTCGACGTCGTTCACGCTCCTAGACGACGCCACTGACGCGAGCAGCGCGCGGATGCGTGCCGATTACCACCCTCCTCGCCTACGAGACCATTCCTTCCTTTACCAGACCATTCTGACTCATTGAATCCCGGACCGGAAACCCGCCGTGTCGCGGCTGATCGTTGCGCGCGAACAAAGTCAACGCAGCGAACAAACATTAGGAGCCTCGATTAGGGGAGTTAAGCGGTTGCTCTTTTCGCGATTATTCTCTTTGCGAGTGGGACACGTTCATTACGATAAGTCTTATTATCTTTACCCTATGTAATCGGCTAGCGATTTTCCTTCGAAGAAATCGCGGTACGTATCACCGCCAATAAACATGATACACGTGTCAAATCATTTGACGTCACGGCCGCTAGTACGGGACAGTTGCGTATACTTTGATTCGGTCTATCATAAACATCGACCAAAAAAGAGAGCGTAATTTGCCGCACCGACACTCGAATCTGTAATTTTTTGTTCACCCGAGTAGGCGCTGATCCACTCGATCATCGGGCTGCCA